ATCGCATTCATATTCTCGCGGCGGTCAATTCGGTCATATCTCAAACTGTATTCTTCAGTCAATTAGTGCTAAGACATCGTGAAAGTTAATTGTTAAGAGTGTGGAGTCCGAGAGTCGACGCGCGTTAACCGTTCCGCGAATGTTCTCTGCCTCGCGCCAAGCAACATCCGGCGTCCGCGTGCAAGATATCCGTTCTCGCGAGAGCCTCTAGCAAGAAGCTCTGCAAGATTTCCGACACGCGTCGAAGGCAGTCACTAACAGGACATTTTGAAGACATCCGTCGGATTCGAGGAATACGTGACGTCGCTCGCTCCTATTATTCTAAATAAAACGAATAGTTAAAACAATCTGCACTAGACTCTTTTCTCAATCTGCTTATCCTCCAGCGGATCTACTGATTCGCGTTACACACCGCTTCTCGCTCATCTCTGAGCGTTTCTCTCAAGATTCGGGCGATCTCGTCGAGGTCGACTCCCGAACATATTGGTCCTTCGAGCCGGATACAAGCGTGTGTGGAGGATAAGTTCGCGAGTGAGTACTAGTTCGATACATCTACGATGTCGGAGCACGTCGCACATCAGCAGCAGCTGCAGCGTACGAGCAATCCGGTCGTCTTTCAGCTACTTCAAGGACAATCATTACGACGCGACTCAAACAGCCTATGAAGACGCTCTGGACCACATGGCGGACATCTTGGAGGAATTGGAACCGGTCGTGAGTCCACATCAATCCCTATCCTCGACGAGGCTGCCCGCGGAAGCGTCCGCGTTTTCTTTATCGCATCTGCCCCCCATCAAATTGCCTCCGTTCGACGGCAATTACGATGAATGGGAACAATTTCGCGACCGATTTACGACGCTAATTCGTAAAAATTCGGATCTAAATGATTTCGCTCGCATGCATTTTTTAACATCCTGTCTAAAGGGTCGTGCGTTAGAACGTATAGCGAATATTTCTGTAACCGCCGCTGATTTTGAAATCGGTTGGAAGGCTTTGACTTCGCGGTACGAAAGCAAACGACGGTCGATAAACACACATCTTTCGACATTGCTTAACTTGTCACCGATAACACACAAGTCGGCTTCCGAGTTGCAAACATTATGTGACAAAGTTAATATCGCGGTAGCGTCGTTAAAAAATCTGAATCGAAAGCCGGAGGAACTCTGGAACGATATTCTCGTTCACCTTATCGTGCAAAAATTAGATCCGGTAACGCGAAAAGCATGGAACGTGAAAGCAAGCGATACCGACGCTCCGCCGGCGTACGAAGATTTTCTTCGTTTTCTACAATCTCGTACTCGCGCGCTCGAAGAACTTGCGACAACCGCAAGTTCCAAGAACACTACCAAACCCGTTGCAGCCTCGCGCGTACATTCCGCCACCGCATCCGCTAGCACCCAGACTCTGTGTCCGGTGTGCAAAGCTCGACATTTTCTTAATGTGTGCCCTTCGTTCGTGAGTAAGAATGCGAGTCAACGGCGAGAGCTCGTTAAGCAGCATAAACGTTGCTTCAATTGCTTAAGCGCGAAGCATTCCGCACAGGAATGTCGGAGTAAATATTCATGTCGGGTTTGCCACAAAAAGCATCATTCGATGCTACACGTTGACTCGGATTCTGGCTCAAGTTCCTCGAGAACTATTATGCCGGATTGCTCGTCGCCTCAACCGTCCGGTTCGACACCGGAAATAAATTCTCTGATCGCCTCAACGAGAAAGCGATCACCCGTCTTATTAGCGACGGCCTGGGTAACGGTGCGCTGTCCGTC